TGTCTGTCTGTCTGTCTGTCTGTCTGTCTGTCTGTCTGTCTGTCTGTCTGTCTGTCTTGTTTAACTGTAATGACTACGGTTCATATAACTGGATATTCAAGAACCTCCAGAACTTCATCAGCTGTCAGTGCTAAAACAGCTTTCCACAGTTTCTTAATTGTTGCTTATTGCTCCTGACATACACCACTCCTTTCTGCCCCCGTTAAAACAGATAATATTCATGAGGTTGGAAAATCCCACCCTTGTCTTTGTGTTTGAAAGCACACTGATTGGCTGCTTGGAAATCCTTGCTCAGCTGGTTCTTAGTCTTACTAAAGAGTGCGAAGACGCAAGATTCGTCACTTGAAGGGAGTTTATTTGCCTTTGAAACAACAGACACATTTCTTAACCCTAAAACAATGAATAATGTTTCAACAATTTCACTGTTTTTTCTTTCAGGTCTGAATGAAACGAGTCGGAATCACAGATCAGCTCTCTTCTTTCTCAGTTTGATGTGTTACTGCATAACTGTCCTTGTAAATGTTTGTCTTATTCTGATCATCATCTTGGATAATGAGCTCCATGAACCAATGTATATTCTGCTCTGTGCTTTTTGTATGAATGCTCTTTATGGAACAGCAGGTTTCTATCCTAAATTTCTGTCAGATCTGCTCTCTCCTGTTCATGTCATCTCTTATTCAGGCTGCCTTCTGCAGGCTCAGGTGTTGTACACCTTTGCCTGCAGTGATCTGTCCATCCTTTCCCTCATGGCGTATGACCGGTATCTGGCTATATGTCGACCACTGGAGTACCACTCTGTCATGTCGAAGCAGAGAGTCATGAAGCTGACGTCCTTTTTTTGGTTAACATCAGCTTTCATTGTTGCACTCAACCTTTTTCTAACATATAAACTAAAGTTATGCCGTCCATATATTAACAGACTTTTCTGTGTAAATTGGAGCATTGTGTCACTGGCGTGTTTCCCTAGCGAAACCTCTATTAATGAAATTGTTGCAAACATTACAATACTAATTTGTATTCTTTGTGGTGTCTTCATTGTTTGGTCATACATGTACATCATTAAAAGATGTGCCAGTTCTATGGAAAACCGGGCAAAGTTCATGCAAACATGTGTGCCACATTTAATTTCCTTGTCCACCTTTATTCTAACTATTTTGATTGATATTATTAATAATCGACGTAGTTCTGCAGATTTGGCCAAGACTTTGCAAAATTTTATTGCTATGGAATTTCTTGTCATTCCTCCCTTCATAAATCCACTCATTTATGGTTTCAAACTGACCAAAGTTAGAAACAGAATTATTACTTTTGTTACTCTCAGATGTAAATAAATGTAAGCACATTTCTTTCAGACGTATTAAAAAGCAATGCTTTCATAAACTTTTATTTACTTTGATTTTTGCTTTCTATTTAGTTTTTTTTTTCTGCTCAGAAATTTTTTTTCTTTAATTCTTGTTTCAAGGCGGTGAGAGTTAACTTTAAAAAATTTGTTTAAAATTTGACTTCAGAAATGTTTCATCTCAAATGGTTTTATATTTTGATATTCTGTGAAAATAAACATTTTAAAAATAATGTCACATATGAGAAGGCAATGTGTTTTGTCAGTCTATTTGAGGGTTGGAAGGCAGCTGTGGAAAAAATATTGCTTGCATGATAAACCTGACAATATAAATATTTTAGCTGTTATTTGGCTGCTTCATCTTGCAGGATGTTATTTTAAACAATAAGTTGCATCTTTACTGATTAAAACCAAATTTCAAAATGGGGGAAACACTTTTCCACAAGATGATCGATTCATCCATCATGTGTTATGCTGATAAGTATAGAAGGGATTCCCTCCTGGGAGATAACAAAGATCACAAATTTTTAAGGAACATAATCTCTGTAGAGGGTCGGACATTTAACCATGAGGAGATTGTCTTCCAGTAGCATGTCCTTGGAAAATTTTAATTTCATGTGTCCAAATTACTATTGGCCTATTTTTCATGGCCACAATTCAAAATGAGACGAGAAAGTGTGCCATTACAATCAGGTGTGTGTAAACCTCACAGTCAGGAAACAGCTACAAGGAAAACGGCTGCCGTATGTTGCAGCTGCTATCCAGGTGGAGATGGATGCATCAGCTGCTGGTGCTCTGACCAGCCACAGCATTAGGCTTTGCAACTGGTGATGATAAATGTACACCAACATGGCCGTCATTAGGCATGAAGTTAGTACAGGAGGCAGCCAAATCCATCAAATTAACGGCTATTTTCCATACTGGAGCAACACATGGGGCTCAGCAGCAACAACAGTAGGTTAGCAAGCATTCTCTACGTGGCACTATCATCCCATCCTCTGTGTTTTTGGATGTGTTGAGGTGGCACAGAAAATTTAAACCAGCCTATTAGCAACGTCACACCATAGGCGCATAAACAATTAATCAACTTGATCAATTAAATTTAAAAATGCAGCGTCAGATTCTCCACACAAAAGTATTGCAGGAGGGATCGTTTCTTTTTACGTCTGATTCTTTCATAGGGCATCACAACTTGTACAGTTGCTTTGTGGTGCGCTCAAACAGAAGAAAACCAGTAACAGTGTTGACTGGACCTCATAATGTTTTCAGGCATTTTGAAATGCTGATACCGGCCTTTGGGCCACACGTCCTTGTCAGCACAGATAACTTTTCACAACTGAGCTATTAATATTCGATATGTCCGAAGTTTTGGATCCTTGATCTACACGTCAACAATGCTGCTTTGCTACTTTCTCTAAATTTTTGATAGACATTCAACATATGCTAACAAATAACTTGGCAGCACACTGTCTGACATGTACATTGATATCTGCGGTTTACGTTGCCAATGATTTTTACAATATGACTGCAGACCAGAGTGGTGATACAGACATCCCTGTGCTTCAGTCTACACCCACTACAAATGTAGACGGGAGTACAATAATCATTTTTATTTCTAGCCTGGGTCCAAGGTAGGTGCAGGAAGTCCTTAGTCCTAGTCAGTGGTTGGATCATGTGCATGTGGACTTGGTGGGTCTGCTGCCTTCTTAACAAGGTTTCAAACATTTCTTGACCCATAATCGATCAGGCCATCTGGTAGCCTATGTTTACAGTTGTGGCCTGCAGCATTTTTGTCAACCTGAGTCACATGTTTCGTTCTCTCTTCAAACATAACTTGCAGAGACATTATGTTTCTTTCAGAACTTTGGTCCGCCATGGCCACAACCTACAGGCTAATGGAGGCGGTAACACTTTATTTGAAGGGGGGTGAATAAGACTGTTATGACACTGTCATGACATAACACCTGTCAAGAACATGAATAAGCCTTCATGAATATTTATGACTGTTGTCATAAAGCGTCATTCGGTAAATGACACTTTTAATACAAAGTTGACATTATTCAAAATGTCTTTGTTATGACAACTTGACATTAACCAAGAAATCATTACTGATTAAACTTTACCTTTAATAACATAAAGATACCTAATTTTTAAAGTACAATCAGTAATACTTTTATAACAAATTTATATCATTTATATCATGGAGGCTAATGGAGGGCAAGAGTCCTGAAACTTTTAAACATGTCCCTGGTTCAACACGCCTGAATCAAATGAGTGAATTACCTCCACAGAACGCAGTCAAGTTCTGCATTCTGTGGAGGTCTTGCTAATGACCTGATTATTTGATTCACGTGTGTTGAAGCTGACATAGATACATTTATAGTTTTGTTTTTGATAAAAATGTAGCATCCTAATTTTATTCATGTTTGACAGAAGTTTTAATTTTATTAAAGAAAATATTAATATAATAAATGTTTTCTGTTTTTCTACTAATAATAGGTTAAAGTTATGTTATTAGTTTTAGAATAATTTATAAATGCATGTATTTTATGTTTAATCTCCCCCATATTTATATAGCAGTTTTGGATTAAACCATGCCAATTCCACTATTATAAGCAGTTTGTGGGAACTTTGTGGGAACTTCTTCCTCATTGGTCTTTCGTTTCTCATTAATTCAGTTTTTGTAGGCATACATGATCACACTTGCTGCTTTCCTGCCATTCCCTGGAGAGTCAGTTTGACCTCCAGAACTTCACTTGTTTGCTCTGGCCTTCATCTCGCTCTGTTATGTTATTGCAATCTGCCTCTGTTCCCCCCAGAAGATTTGCCCCACCTGTCTGCCCCTGTGGAATCAGCTATAATTTTGTGATGTATCCAATTTTCACCAGTCAGTGCAGCGCACTGCACAACAGAAGGGCTATAAGCTTGCTTGAAATGCCACTGCAGCAGGGAAACGAGATTAGACACTATAATTGAACTGGTTGGGGAGCAAAAGACACATTTTTAAACCAAGATGAACAATGTTTCAGCAATTTCAATGTTTTTTCTCTCAGGTTTAAATGAAGCAAGAAATTACAGATCAACTCTTTTCTTTCTCAGTTTTTTGTGTTACTCAATAATCATCCTTGTAAATGTTTGTGTTGTTCTGACTATAATCTTGAATAATGAGCTCCATGATCCAATGTATATTCTGCTCTGTGCTTTTTGCATGAATTCCATTTATGGAACAGCAGGTTTCTATCCTAAATTTCTGTCAGATCTGCTCTCTCCTGTTCATGTCATCTCTTATTCAGGCTGCCTTCTGCAGGCTCAGGTGTTGTACTCCTTCGCCTGCAGCGATCTGTCCATCCTTGCCCTCATGGCGTATGACCGGTATCTGGCTATATGTCGACCACTTGAGTACCACTCTGTCATGTCGAAGCAGAGAGTCATCACTTTGGTTTGTCTTGCTTGGTTAATACCTTTCTTCATTATAGCTGTAAGCACCTTATTAGCATCAAGGCTGAAGTTATGCAGCCCATATTTAAACAGACTGATCTGTTTGAACTGGAGCATTGTTATGCTTGCTTGTTTTCCAGCCGAAACGATTCCTAACAGCATCATTGGAAATATTACAATATTAATATATGGACTTCATGGTGTTGTGATTGGTTGGTCCTATCTGTTTCTCATCAAAACTTGTGTTGGTTCTATAGAAAACAGGAGAAAGTTCATGCAGACATGCGTGCCACATTTGATCTCTTTGTTCACGTTTTTAGTAACTATATTTTTTGATGTTATATATATTCGATTTGAGACTAAGAATTTACCACCAACACTTAAACACTTTGTTTCAATAGAATTTCTTATCTTGCCTCCTTTAATGAATCCCCTGATTTATGGCTTCAAGTTGACCCAAATAAGAAAAAAAATTATGAGTGTGGTGACCATGAAAATGAAATGACCCTCCTTTAGTCTCACATTATCTAAAGTTAAGTTTTAAGTTTAGAAAAGAAATTTTAAACACTGATTTTGTCATATATTTTTCTATTACTTTAACTCAAAAATACTTATCTATTTGTGCTTACCCATGAGGTCATGCCATGTTATTTTTTCTAATTTGTAACTGTAAATGTTAGTGACTTGCCTTGTAATGTATTTAGATGTAAAGCACAAAATTATAATTGTAAGAATAATTTGTCGTTTTAGTTCAGGAATGACTAATTTCAGAGGACTAAATACATTGTAGCTTTGTTCCATTTTTAGAATGGCTCTAAATTGATATGCAATACTTTTATTTGCTATACTCACTGTATTATGTTTGTTTTATTCTAAAATTAAATGAGCCTTTCTCAACTGTTTGAATTAAATATAAATTTTGTTTGTTTTTTATTAGTATATTTTATTGTTTATTTTATATATTTATGGTTCAATACATTGATTTGTTAGCAATGGCATTTCCTGAATCCCATGGTCAGTGTTGTTTAATTCACAATTTCTTTATGGTTTATTTTATGATTGCTGTTTTGGCTGTTTGGGGGGTGGCGGGGGGTGTTTGGGTTCTTTGCCTCCTATTCTTATCCCTTTGGAAACCATTTTATATAAAAACTCACTGATTTATTGATTGATTGTACAAATGAAAAACAAGTCAACATGTCAGAAAATAACAGGAAATACTTCACAATCTACAACCCAGACTATTATATTTGCATGTGCAGCTGGTGATGAAATAAAAATTTGTCAATTAAATCTAACGGAAGGTGTCTTTTTTTTTTCTACATTTTCATAATAAATATGAATAGATTTTAATCTGGTTAGCAGATTAATTTAACCTTTTCTATTCTTTGTTATTTCATGTGCATCTTCTTACTGTATCTGTGCCCTCTCTCCCACACACTATTTTCAGCCTTTACAACTGTTCACTTATGAAGATGTAACTTGATTTTCCGAGCAGTCTTTAAATGCACCACATGTCGACCTGTGGATCTAATCACCGAGGGGAGACGTCATGTGCCGCTGAGCTGAGATACGGGGGTAAAACTCTCTCCATAGTCGGAGGCCTTAGTCCTCCAAGATGCTGTCACAGGTTCAAATCCCAGCCTGGTGGCTTTTCCCCCCACCCCCTCTCTCATAACCCACTTCCCTGTCTGACCACTATCAAATGAAGACCACTAAAGCCAGAAAAATAATTTGAAATAA